GATGAAGGAAGAATGTGACTGCCTCACCAAGGAGGCATATTTCTTCCTTCAGCTCGCTTCTGAGCTTGGGTTCAAGACTTTCACACTGCGCTGCGAGTCAAGCAGTCTTGAACTGCGCTACGGCTATTTCTGTAGACAGGTTCTTAATGGACAGTCGAGCGGCTAGTTTACTGTCCAATCCAAAGCGAGTGGCTGCTTCGACCATTTCGTCTTTGGCAGTTCCGCTTTTGAAAAGTTCTTGAACTGTGGTGACATACTTGAGCAGTTGCTGGTACTTGCCTTTAAACTCGGGTTTGGTTTTGTACCCGGCAAGCCATTCCGCAACATGGTCATTTGATGCACCCTTGGGGCGGGAATCCAGCTTGCGATATGAGTCACTAAGTAATTGTTGAGCTTCGCTCTGGGCTTCAGGCTCTGCGTGCGGCAATGTGGGCTTGGCCCGTTTGTCTGCAGAGTTGGATGGTTCTGACTCCTGGTCACGCTTGCGTTTGACAGGAGACATAACAATGCCATGCTGAGCCAATGTGGCTTTGGCTTTGGCAAGTTCGTCTGCAGCTTCATGATTTATAATAGGCGCTTTGGCCTCCAAACACTTCAGTAGATCTTGGGCAAGGGGCTCCATGAACCGCATTGCTTCTTTGTGTTTGTCTGGCACTGCTGCTGAGTGGCAGGCTTGGGCTGCATCATCAATTGACAGGCCGCTCTCTCTGATTTTCTTGAGGAGGGCCGTCAAAAGAACTGATTCGGAACCGCTACGTGCCCAAACGACGCTCTGGTGCCTGCCTTCAGACCAGAGTCGAAATGAAAAATCTCCTAAACCACGGTGACTCAAGTCAAAAGCACGGATGTCTGCCACATCTCGATCGGCGGTTTTCCGTGACCACTCGGTGGCTTGTGCGCAACGGTGTAGAACATGACGCCCCTTGCCGACAGGTGTTTTGTCGTAATGGAGGTGGTCTGGAGCAAACGTCGAAGGGAGAACCGGGGCTGAGCTCTGAACTACTGAAGAACTTTGATTCGCGGCCCAGTGGGATTCTTGCCACTGGTGCTTGGACCAGTCGCGGCTCTGCCACTGGTGCTGACTTTCCCAGCTGCTGCTTGAATCACCTGCTTGCCACCATGAGGACATATTGGCGGATTGAACTGCTAACCTTGGGCTCTCTGGACTGTTTTGAAGCTGGAGAGCTCTGGGTGTGCGTCCAGGAGAGAATACTGTGCATCTGAAACAGAGCCCGGAGCCTACCTGGTCTGAAGGCTGACGCGTGAGTGCGTCACATGCTGATGCTTAGTCCCGTCGAGAAACTGGGCGATCAGGCCTACGCATTGCAGGATACCTCCGAGGAGTCTTTACTGATTTCGAGACCTGTTGGTGCGTATGGGTTGAAGCCGATCAGGGCTCGGACCGATCGTCCATCACAAGAACTGGGCCGATCAGGGCCGTTCAGTAGGCTACCCTACCGGAGACGACACGATAGACGAAAGCTGTCTAGAAGCATACTTGTGCAATCCTTTTTCTGGACTGATTGGGAATTCTCAATATTCAGTTTTTGTCAACACAGAGGGATAGGATTATAAGAGGATTTAGGCTTTGCCCATGGCTTACCTCTTGCCACATTTATTGCTGCAACACACCTGCGCTGAACATGTCTGACATGTCTCCTGCAACTGAACTGCACTGACATGTTTGAACATGACTCTGCCTGCCTGACATGAAAAACCTACCGCAAAAGTTGGCCACAAGCTGC